CGATTCCCGTATAGCATTCCCAGTTCGATTTCCAATTAACGCAGGCACTAGCTTCCTTATAAGAAATTACATTAAATTATTATTAAATTAAAGCTACCTATTTTTATGGCTCGGTGATGAGGATTCGGCGTGTGTGTGTTATTTTTGGATGTCAGCTTGTAGCTGACAAAAAATAAAATTTTAACAAATTATAATCGACAATTTTTTGTGGAAAAAATTATAAGAAGCCTATTTGAGTCATAAAATTATTTCATTATTTCGATCAAAATAAGATTCTATTACATGTCATGCAAGAAAAGGTATGTGGGGTCGAAGTGGGGTCGAAGGTATATGGGTTTCGTGCTAGGTGGATACAAAGCTATTCTTATTCCACCTTAATAATTTGCTAAATTTTAGTTTATTTTAAGAAAATCAAAGTTTGAATCAATAAACTGTCGCTCCTTACGAAATACGTAATTTTTTGGATGTCAATGTGTAAATTGACAAAAAATAAAGTTTACGTATTAAAAGCAAATAGATAAATATTAAAAAAGTTAAATAATTTGTACAATCAAAATTATGAAAATTGGAAAATTTTAAATTATGAAAAATTAAAAAAAATTCTAAGGGAAGGTTTTAAGTTTTTTGAATGATTGAAAGTCGGATATGATCGGTTAATTTCTTTTTAAGGCGGGTCAAATAGAGAAGAATAAGAACTGTTAAGCCGCCACAGGAGTCCTGTCTTACACTCTCTATAATGCGGCAGGGTCCAATTCTTCCTAATACTATGGCAATACCGAACACTCGAATCAGCGCACTTCTAATTTTGCTAGGTATATCCAGCATCCAAAAAATATAAACACAGACCCCAACATACGAGAATTGCATGTTTACAATATTACTGCTTCAAATGACATTTTAATTTAAAAATTTCTATTGTTAAACATAAAGTGAGGTTCTCCAATAATTGATAAAGAATTAATAAGAGAAAAAAATCGTTTTGCCAATGTACAAGCACGGCATCCAAAAAACATTAGGGCTGAGTCAGTAAAATGAATTGAAAAAAATCCAATATTTAAATGATATTTAAATTCAAAAATTTTATTGTTAAACATATAAGATGAATAAAAGCAAGAAAAAAAATAAATACCTAGTGAGTAAACAATGTAAATTATGTAGCTCGTTCCTATTTTTTCTGGTATATTCAAAAGAAATGCCATTGCAAAATATAAAGGAATTGAACAATGAAGAAAATGCTGACCATCAGGGATGTGCGCCAAAATTTTCGCGTGGCGCGCCAAACGCCAATTTTTCAAATTTTCAAATCACGCCAAACGCTAGAACGCCAAAATCGGCCAAAAACGACGCCAAAACGCCAAACGCCAAAACGCCAAAAATTTTAGTCCTTCAAGACCCCAAAAAACCCGTGTTCATCTTTTTTTAGCGCCGCAGGCGAAAATTTTTGAATTTTCACGATTCCCAGAAGCCAGAATTCATCCTTTTTTAGCGGCTATACCAAAAATTATGGAAATTTAATAAGAATCAGAAATCCTACTTTTGTAAATCACAGGACCAGAATTGTAGAATATCGAAGGGTTTAGATGTCCTGCTATCCTCTTTGACCTCCAATTAAGAGATGTAGAAAGGATTAAGGAGGACATTAGCTAATACCGACCCTAAACTTTCTTGGTTCCAGATCCGTACATAAGCATGATAATGGTAATTAGATCAAAGCATCTTTCTATTAGTGCCGCAGGCGAAAAATTCGAGATTTTTGGAAGGCTGATAATGCAGTTTGCTTCCCTTTGTATGCGCCGCAGGCGAAAATTTCTAAAACTTTGGAAGGCTCTAGCAAGAAAATTTTTATTTTTTGAACACAACTCCTCCATTTATTTTAAAAAATTTCCATCTTTAGGGGTGTATAATTTTGGCGTTTTGGCGCGCCAAAAACTGAAAATCACGCCAAACGCCAGCACGCCAAAATCGGCCAAAAATCACGCCAAAACGCCAAAACGTCACGCCAAAACGCCATGACGCACATCCCTGCTGACCATTACGTATTAAAGAAGGTAAAAAGTTAATGAAAAAAGTAATGAAAAAACGATTCCCTACCTTCTTCCACATAGTGCCACAAAATCTATGTCCATTATCAAGCAGCTTAAAACTACTTCATTTGATTTAATTAATTAATTTCAGTCTAAATATCGTTAGAAAATTTACTAAATTGATGCGTCTTTTTCAGTAGTTTTATTTTTTGGATGTCTCAGATAAGCAGACAAACAACTATGTATATTGTGTTAAATTAAGATAGAGCATTTGAATTCTTTTTGCCAAATTTGCTGCTAAAGTTAACTAGTGACGCCAAATTTTGATTAAAAATGCTAATTATAAATTGACACCATACATAGTAGTTGAATAATAGAAGAACACGTTGTTTGGTAGGTAGTTTTTGACTAGACTGAAACTTTAGTGAATAAAAACTGGCTCTTTTATAATATAACTAAAAGTTTACTTAATATAATTAAATTATTTAATAGCAGTTTAAATATTGTTGGAAAATGTTGCCATTTGTTGAGGCACTTTTCCATGTGTTATTTTTTGGATGTTGCAGTTAAGCAGACAAAAATTCATTGATAGTAAATATAGATGAGAATCCTGATTTCTTTCTGGCTGAAATGTCGTTGGTCAAATGAAAAAATGTTGCCTCTATGGCAATTAATTAGATACGTGCGGATCGAAGATTTTCCTGAACTATGTCAAAAATTTACAAAACGCAGCACAATTTTGGTCAAATAAAGCGAATATTTGGTTTAGTGTTGGCACTTGGCAAACTATAATTTCGAGGAATTTATAACAAAAGAATTATAAAGAAAGCATAGTGAACTGCATCTAATTGGACTTTTAAGTTTACACCTTAATAATTTATTAATTTTATATTTATTTTAGACAATAAAATCTGTGATGTTATTGAATGTTGGCAACTAGCAAAAGGCACGGTTTTATTTTTTGGATGTCAATTCTTAAATTGACAAAAAATAAAGGGTCCAAAAAGTCCTATTTTTAGGGCCGAAAAATTCTGTTCGAAGAATTCGAATTAAGAAATATGTGCAAATGAGTTGAGGACGTGGCGTTGTAAATTTCAAAATTGTCCGTCAAATATTTCTGATGTTCTAGTCGATAGACCTCCAAAAATTAGGCATTTTTCTGAAAATCTGCTAAATCTACTTCATTTGATTTAATTAATTTCAGTTTAAATATTAGTGGAAACTTTACTAAATTATTTTACTTTCTAATACTGTACACATCTTATTTTTTGGGTGTCTCATTAAGCAGACAAAAATTCTTTATAGTGTACCAAATTTAGGGTGAAATTTTGATCTCTTACTGCCTAACCTAACTTTTCAGTTCGGTTAAGCTTCGGCTCTTGTCCAGTTTATGCGTCCCATGAAAGTATATGCGTCCCATCAACAAAAAATTGGATATTTCTTGGTGTTGCAATGTAGGGGTATGGTTCCAAAGCATTTTTTCATGTTCGGGATCTACGCCCACTGGGCCTGAGACTTTTCCTTGCCCTATACCTCGAAATTTCTGAAAGTTAAAATCGTTTTTCTGAAATTTTTAAAAATTGGCTATAACTTTCAGAAATTTCAAAGGATAGGGTAAGGAACGGTCCCAGACCCAGTGGACCTAGATCCCGAACATGAAAAAATGCTTTGGAACCATACCCCTACTTTGCAACACCAAGAAATATCCAATTTTTTGTTGATGGGACGCATATACTTTCATGGGACGCATAAACTGGACAAGAGCCTAAGCTTCATCGCCCTATAAAAATTCTGACTTAAGTCGTCAATATCCAACCATTTTCGTCTAGGAGTAATATACCGTATTTCCGGGAATAAAACCTCACCCTGAAATAGAGCTCCATCTTGGAAGATAGTTGAAAATTATAGCCCCCTGGAGTTCTATCTTCGGAAATAAGGTATTATGCCTTTAGTTGGTCTATTAGCAACACTATTTACCTTACTATATCCAATGTTTTAAAGTCATTTTTCCTAATATTTCAAACTTGAAATGACTGTTTAACTTCATTTAACAGTCAACAGATGAATCAGACAGTATATTTTCCATTAAGTCAAAATTTTAGGCAGAGAAGACTCAAATTTTCAATTTTACTCCAACACAAAATAATTACGATTGTTTGTCTGCTTAACTGAGACATCCAAAAAATAATAGCTTATCCTACCCTGTCCGACACAATTTAGTAAGATTTGCAAAGATATTTAAACCTAGATTAATTAATTTAATCATATGAAGTAAATTGATTGTTATAAAAACCAATAGCGGATTACCGTACGTATTTCTGATAGACGATGATTTTAGTTACTTCGTTATTCTGTTAAGGGCGTTATGCTGTTACTGAAACTGTACTGACTAAAAACTAGCGCATTATACTATAACTTTACTTTTTATCATTAAATTAATTAATATCAGTTTAGATATTGTTAGAAATGTTCTAAATAACTATCGGGAATATTTTATGTTACTTATTTTTGTACGTCTAAGCTAATCAGGCAAAAATTCTATGATGGTTAAGTTAAGGAAGGAAAATTATGAGACTCAAAATAGGAGAGTGGTATATCCAAAAGGACCAAGAAGATATTCGATCTAATTAGATTTCTTTAACTTTTTCTATCCATTTTTGAAGTTTTATTGGAAAACTTGGAAATTAATCCCGTAAATTCTGCATTCCTTCTTAGAATTTACTGAAATCCACCCGATCTTGGATTTAATAGATATCAGGAATATCAGAGGATTTGAGTGATACCAGAGATTTATAGGATTGAAGAAAGATACAAGTGGATTCTGAGTATTCACAAATGTCTGGACATGATTTTTAAATAGTTAGTTACTCCATCTTAATTATATTATTAATATCAGTACAAATATCATCGGAATATTTGCTAAATTAATGAATGAGGTCGGCCAAGATCTATTTTTTGGATGTCTCATTTAAGCAGACAAAAAATTTAAATAGTGTGTGTAGATTAAAATAGCAAGAATTAAATATTTTAACCCATAACTAGGGTTGCCAGCTCGCTCGACCCGAAACTCGAAAGATTGAGCGACTCGAAAAGCTCGAAAAAAAGTATCGAACGTCGGCTCGAACGAAAATGGCAACCCTACCTATAACATTTTCAATAATTTATCAAGCAAATTTAAAAAGCCTAAAAAATTAGCTGATTCAAATAAATCTTTAATATGGCATCATTTTTTCACTATACGTTGGAGGTTGATCAGACGATACACCTCCACTGCCCAAATTAATAGCAACATCCCATTCATTGAAAACAAAGAGGCGAACACCTTCATCGACCTCAATAGGATAGCCTTTGCGTCCGCGAACCCAAACCTTTTAAATAAAATTTGTTGTTTTCGAGACTAGGCAAACTAAAATATTGAAGAATACTTAGTCGGAAAACTGTTAGTGTTTGGGTGGTACGTTGGGCTGCTCCCAATACTAAGCAGGTCCTCAGGGGAAATCAAATTTTAAATGAAAAATGGAGTGTATCTGTGGCATTTTATAATGAGAACGTCCTACAAATGGAATTCAGATAATACCGAAATAATACTACGGTAAACCGAAAGGTGCCAAACACTATTAGTGAGACAGACTGTTTTAAAATATTTTTGTTTAAAACTACCTCGTCTCCCACTTTAAGATGGCCAATTAGCATAGCCCCGCCTTGATTAAACGTTGATGCTTCAGCTATACGAACAACTCTTCCCTGTAATAATATGGATAAACATGACTAAAAATATACCCACAAGAATAAGATCGTCCATACTAGCCCTCTGACCCGTGTCTCTACTGCGAGCTTCGTTTTTATATTTTTTGTCAATTTCAATGAGAACATTTCCTGGCACCAAATTAACTTCGTTGAATGGAATTCTTGGAAGGGCGTTACCCATAATTAGTCTAAATAATTTGATAATTAGTTCAGGGAATCTGGGCACTGTAAAGTTGAGTGCCAAAATTATTAAGAAAGTTAGTTGCCAAATTTTTGTAATTCTGAGATCCGGTTGGATTTTGGGCATAAAACTCGATATCAATTTTTCTTTGGACCGAACTTTTCGAAAAATCTTGGGGCCCAGATTTCTAGCGTTCGATTTCCGGACATCGAAAAATCACCCAAATTAATTCGCAAGTGAATTGGGTAAAGGGATTTTTTCAAAAGATCGACGGACAGGAAACCGCGGGATTAATCCCTTAACTCCCAGGATCCCGATAACCCCGTTTGGCGCTTAAAATAAGGCATTTTGGAATGTGTACGGGGTAGGGCTGCGGAAATTGCGGGGGTTTTGCAATTGCGAGTTGCGGATGCGGATTTCTAAAAAGAAATTGCAGGGTCATTAAGTTATCATAACGTCATTTACGTCATTACTAAGACTGTGATTTATAGGCAAATGCTATTTTTTCTGCAAGTATGGGATGATGTAATACGTTCAAAAAACGGTGTTTTAGCTTGGTCCGAAGAGTCTAGCATGACTTTTGCCTATTTTGGACTTTTTATGCCTTCTTGCCTATTTTGAAATTTTTGGTACTATTTTTGCCTTTTTTGGCTTTTTGGTGCCTATTTTAGGCGCCTATTTCACTGATTTTTCATGCCTAACTATCACAGCCTTAGTCCTTGCGCTCTTTAACGAATATTATAAAAATATATTTTGGAAGTTTAATACTTGGACGAAAGAATGATGTGTCTATCCTTAAAAAAGGACTGGTTTTATATAAAAGTATTGGGTAAAAATAAAATCAATATTTCCTCGAAAAGAAATAGGCCCAACAACAACTTCTTTTACGAAGCATTTTGTTTTTTTATGAATTTTTGGTTTTTTTCTTCTTCTATATTTGCGTCATTTACCAGTTTACTTGTTATAATTTAATTAATTAATATTGGTTGAAATATGTTTTTTCGGGAAATGTTCTAAATATTTTATAACTTCGTTTATTGCGTTATTTTTTGGATGTCTCATTTAAGCAGACAAAAAAGTCTATCATATTTATTAAATTAAGAGGGAAAGTTGAGTTAATTTTACCTCTGATTTGAAAAAATTGTTGAAGAGTTATTTGTTATTTTTAGAGTTTAATCGTAAAAAAATCTGTCAAATTTGTCAAAATAATCGGCGTAAAAATCTGGATACTGATATCAAAATACATGATGACAGTTAAATCGACCCCAGAGTCAAATAAATTCAGAAATCAGCATAAAGGCATAGTCTCAGACCTTAATAATTTTGCCAATTTTCAATGGCAGTCAAAAATAAAAACATCAACTGTGTACTTCAACTAATAACACTACTATAATCTTATATTTTAAAAATAATAAATTTACAAACTTATATTAAGCATTTTTAAAAAGGTCTCGAAGGATCTGTCAACTAAACCTAAACAGTATCGGCAAAAGATGTGAAAAAATTCAAATTTTATTCTGATTTTTCTCAATCATGTAGAGCGAAATCTCTATAATATCGTTAATTCTCGACAACATTTTTCTTCAAAGTTATCGAAAATGGATGATCGAATATAATTTTTTGGATCTTTTGTCAAGATTAAAACAAAGCCTAAAATAATAGCCCAGGTCGAACAATGCTATAGTAATTGTATAGAGAAACGAACCTCAAAGTAGAGGTCGGCAAAATCGCACTTTCGGGATCCCGAGTCGGGATTTTATTTTTTAACCGATGCCGGGACGGGATCCTGAGGGATAAATCCCGAAAAAATCCCGGATCCCGAATGATCCCGAAAATCATAAAAATCCGGGATTTCGGGATCGGGATCCCGGAAAATCCCGTCGGGATCCCGTCCCGCGCCGACCTCTACCTCAAAGATGTTGCTAAACGTTAACTATTAATTAAAAATTTTATTGAATCGTGAATCGAAACAGATGATTGTAGGCTAGTAAATTGATGCCGTTTTGACTAGACTGAAACGGTAGTGTCTAAAAACCAGTGGTTAGAATTCCAATTTTGCTCATACTCGTACCAAAATTAAGCCTCAACTACTTGATAAATGTTAAAATTTTGCAGCATTCGGATCACGCTGCCAATAATTCAAGTTTAACCACAGTCGAAACTTATTCTTAGGTATTCCCCCAATGTTTAGCAAAAGTATTTTGAGATCTTCATTTAGCCTTAAGTAAAGTGAAGATTAAAAAAGTTGATTCTGTGCAAAATGTTTTATGTATATTTGCCTCTTTACGGGTAAAATTATTGCAAATAGGTAAAATATAAAGTAAAATGTCAAAATATAAGATTGGATGTTGTAGCTTTGTGGACTTATTTTACTAGACACTATATTTGGACTTGAGGAGAGAAGGATTAGAGAATACTAGAGGCTAGTTACCTATGGACTAGAGGCTAACTAAGGAAAAAACTAACTAACCACATTTTTGATGCGGTAGCGAATACTCGGATCCTACTTTCAAAACCGATTTTTATTTTTATTATTTATTTAGTTACCTAAAAAATACGTGACAATAAAAATAATTGAAACAAAATCGTTATAAAATGAAGGAATGATTTAAAAAAACAAATTAAAATTAAAAAATATTGTTAAAAATATTGTAAATATTGAATTTTCTCAATAACGTTAATTTATTTTATAGACTTTAAAAATCTTTTATATAATTTTTATTGTCGCTTTTCACGTTCCGAATGATTTATTTTTGGATGTTGGTTGGTATATCTCACCGACAACAGCTTTCTATTTTAATGATTATATACTATCTTCGTTTAAGTACATATTTTATAAGATTTTTATATAATTCCTTGGGGTTGCTAGAATCTTAGGTGGTCTCGTGGAAAATTTATGTGAGCCAGCGACGTGGTGAGTTCAGAGGAATTTCTTAATGCCACGAAAATGAAAGGATTGCCAAAACCCCTCATATTTCCCAAACTTAAGCAACGTAAAACAACCCTATACTTTTCATCAGACCGTAGATTAAATCTCACATTTATAAAATTTTTGTCTGCTTAAAAGCGACATCCAAAAATACGAATATTGGCCGAACATGATGCGTAAAACTACTTACGCCATAATATTTAAGTTGATATTAATTAACAAAATTACACTATGTAAATTGGCTGGCTTTTATACTAACCCATTTTAGGGCTTACGCCCATCCGCACCACCTCCTTGAAAAACACTTCCTCTCTTGACTAAAAGTTAAGTAAAAGACAGTCAAAGTTGTGGACAGAATTCGCGCAACATCTATTCAGACCAAAATAGGACATCTCACTTCTCTTCTAAAAGATCTTAAATCCCCGCCTAGTGAGCATTTTAAATACTAGCTTGCTGCATCTTTCTCTTCCTTACAATACTTAATTAAATCACATTATTTTGTCAGCTTTTTTGCTAACATCCAAAAATACTATATATGTTGATCGAGTTAAAGTAAAATATCTTTAAATGTGATCAATTAATTTTTAATATTTTCCAAATTTTTAAAATTATATTGAGATTTATTTATCTTTTTTAAGACAGTCTTTTATAAATTCCGATCGTTTTCTGGACCTTATTATAAAATAGACATTTTAGATCTACTACTTTTTTATACAAAAAATCACCCTATGATTTTTCAATTTTCAGGAGTCTGTATCTCGGTCATAACAAGTTGGATGTTTTAGATTTTGGTGTCAGCGACACAGCTCATTGTCTCAACATGCTTCTGAATACTGACCATTTTTAACACTTGAGAAAGAAAAAGAGAGGGGGGGGTACCCAAAATTACCTACACTCCTTTCTAACTCTTCCCTTTTTTGTTTTTTTTTTCTTTTGACACAAAATAAATTCAATAGATTATAGGGAAGATTCACATGATTTACCCTACCAATTGGAGCACTCCTTCAATTTGAATATTTTTTTAACTAAAGAAAGCTAAGTAAAATATATAACTCTTGACCTTAGAATAGACCTTTTAGCTCTACTCGTTTTAGTCGAGTAAAAATTCTCTGGTTTTTACTTTAAAATATTTTTTCCGATCAAATTAGGGATATCTAATAATCGAGTTCGATATTTGAAGTCATGAACGCATTGAAGTCATGAAAGTTGGGCTCATAGATGTTTGTAGGACTAAGGAACTTTTACTGGAAAATTAGTTAGTGTCTTCGCTACACGATGGCCGGTTAATAATGGTTAATACTATATTATCATTACCTTCTTTTACTATCACCAGGGCTACTATCACTTATCACAGCCTTATTTCTAGAAGCATTAAAATGGCCAAACTAATTTAATATTATAGTAACCGGCTGTGCCGGCTTCCAAAAAATATCAAATTGCTCCAGCTGCAAACTCGTTTAGAATTATAAATAGTTTACTATTTAAATCAAGAGATTTATAAATTTAATATTATGTAATTTATTTCCAACTTTACTAAATTTTTTTTATTTTTTCAGTCATTACGGCACGAGACAACCCGAGATATGGAATTTCCTCAAGATAATTCAAATTTATCGGGAATGATGGCAGATAATCAAAATTTTGTTCAAAAACTTTGCATCTATTCTCGCCGCCTGCTGCTGGAGGAGGATGGCATAGCGAGTAAGAAAATTTCTTTTGTCCCCAGATAAACTTCTTTGAATGCCATGCATTAGCATTTGGCAAAAAATAATAAAACGATATTTTTTTGATACCTTCAAAATTTGTTTGATATTAAATATTTGTGTTGAAAAAATATCTCGTTATGGACGTCCCTTCAAAATATTCCGCGACCTCTTTATGAATCTCGTGTTGCTTATGCATCATTTGCCTATGCATTGCATGGCATCCAAAAAATATACTACCCACTGGCCTATGAACCTTCACTAAAACTAAAACTGCATTTTAAAGAATGTGAAAAATTTAGAAACTAATATTGTTGTATTTGATGACCATAGTTCCGAAAAATCTTGGTGACCAAAATTCCAGTGACCAAAATTCCGGTACCCATATTTAACTAGTATTTTTTTATAAAGTTGCAGTCTTTTAAATACAAATTTAATATGGTATTTACATATGTTTTGTTTGCTAGTCGTCTTTCATATTTTTGGATGCCATTCACTAGCATTTGGCTAAAAGTTAATAGCTGCTTTAAATCCCGATTCTCTCTAAAAGGGATTTGTTATTTTCGAACTTCCCTGCCATTCGATCTCTTGGAAAATGTTAAAAGAATCTGGAAAATTTATAAATTAATATTGTTGTATTTGATATGTCCGGTCCTATAGACTATATTCTCACTATAAATTGTCATAAATTAGCTCATATATACTGAGGATCTGACTTAAATACCACTTAGTCACAGCAGACTAGCAAGGGAAATAGCGAACGAAATGTCATTTATTGGGGCAGAACGCCAACCAATTAAAAAAGAGCTAAATTTATCTCTTATTCTCTAATTTTCTCTTGTTTTTCCATACTCTTTATATGTAATTTTTACAAATCCGAGTTGATCAACTTCGAAACACGATATCTCGAAAAATTTTCATA